CCCCCCCCCCCCCTCGCCCATTGTTGATGGCTTCTCGACGTCCTTTCCGATGTGACCAGAGGCTCTTCCTTCTCGCCTCTCTTTAATTTCGCCTCGCAAAGAGCCTCTGGAAACAGGGTACAAAATTCTAAACTGTTTCATTATATATTTTATATTTTGACCTATGACTTTGCAACAAGATAGGTTTGGGAGTGGTAAAAAATTTTCCAGCATTTCACTGGTGGGGTACCTAGAAATTTTGTTTTCAAAAAGGTGAGGTAATGATTTTTCAGCTCCATTACACTTTCTCTTCAGGCCCCCGGCTCCGGCCAAAAATAATGACTAGTCCCTTACATTTTCAGACATGTAGGTGGACACTGTGCAGGACTATAAACGCTATTATTTGTCTTCTTTCTTTCACATGAATTTCAACACTTGAGATGCATATTCCCACAAGCCAATGTCGTCAGGCGATTGTGAAGAAATCTGGCTGATTCTGGGTCCATATTATGTCCAAAGCCATCTAGACGCAATATCGTACAGTCCTCAGCTTTATGTATAAACTCACTCATATCAGGCCTAACAGCAAACGAAAATATTGTTCTAGTTTTTACCCCAAAATCACGCATTGCCACCCCTACATATGCGTCGTCTATGTGAAATGGTTTTCTTATATAGACATAGTTAAATAATCTATTGAGAAGGTCGGTGGACAGAATAAAGAACGCTCCAGCATTAAACATCGGAAAATTCACTTCACCAAAATATTTCCAACTAACTGTCCATTTTCCACTAATAACACGATTAACTCTGATTGGCAAGTAGGTCATTCCTCCGTAAAATGGTCTTGGAAACTTAGCATTAACAAGATATCCCAACACACGTGGTATGCGCACATAAACATCATCGTCTGTTTTGAATGTGTATTTTATATCAAATTTACTTGCCCACACTTGACCCATGTAGAACTTGACAACATTATTAATATAGTTGTCTGTGATATTTCCTATCAACATATCATTGTGTTGTCCAGCTTCAGCCATGTTTAGTTCGTCATCGTTTGTTCCCGGTCCTGCCTTTCCAACAACAAATACGAGTAGCCACCGTAAGTTCTTCTTTCTTTCATCTCCCATAGCTTTGCGTTGTTCACAATTGCTTCGATTTCCCCAGGTTTGTCGGATAGCCTCGCGACGTTTTCGAAACTCGTTGCCCTTGGCGCCCGAATTGACCAAAACCATCATAAAAATCTCTGGTGTTGTTTCAACTTTGGGCGAAATTTCCGGGAAAACGAACTTAAAATCAACAAAAGGGTAATAGTCGTTTATTATGTCAACCGTTGGCTTTCTCGTTGTTGCTACAGGATTTTCAGAAATCTTCGATGCATGAAAATTGTTTATAAATTTTATCAATGTTCTGTTAATCCCTTTTAGCATCGCAAACATAGCTACGTTGGCGGCATTTAAGGAATCTATACTTCCCGTAGTCATATCCACTTCCGTAGAGCTGTTTCGTTTAAAATTATGAATACATTCACGTAATTGTATAGCTTTAGCTTCGCCTTCGGGGTGCCGTATTGTGGAAGAATCACTCGTTGTAAGCAGTCTGGATGCATGTACAAAGTAGTTTACAAAAGTCCATACCGAACAAACCAGGAACAAAAGCACCAGAACCATGAATTTTCGTTTATACCGTTTTAAAGATGCCATTATGAGGTTTGGTAGCTATTTGCGAGCAGCAAGCGAGCACCAGCGAGGCTTGCTAGGTGAATCCTAATCTGGGATTAAAAGTTTTCAGCGCATAAATCGTTTTCACCGTATAAAACAGTAAAAAAAACAGTTTTCAAAAGTTTTCACCTAATTTTTCCGCTGGATAAAAATTTTACACCCATTGCGGGTTCATTTTACCATATATGGGCGTAAAGCGGTAGGCCGTCAATCGCTGTTTTTTAAACAAAGTCTCTTGGAAACTGCTGACATATACGGTAAAATATTTAAGTTTTTTCAATTTTCCTCGTAGTTTTGAACATGAAAGTGACAGGCGAGTTTTTAAATATATGTACAATGAATGTTTGTTTTAATAATATTCCAAGTAGAATCGAATTCAAAAATTGTTTGTAGCTACATACCCCTATTTTCTCAAACTTTTTAATGTGTGATTGTTTTAAGTAAGAGTCCACGTATTTAGCTATCATTTTAAAGAGTTTTTTTCATTATTATGAATGTCGAAGATTTTGGCCAAGTTTGTTTTCGCCTTATATGAGCCTTTTTGATCGAGTTTTTCGATTAAATTTTAATCTAAACTTGTCTGTAAATATAGTAAATGATGGAAATGGTTTGCCTCTTTTTTTTTCAGATATATTAAAGATTTTAACGACATTCGGATTCTATTGTGTGCATTTTTATTCGGCTTTTTAACGTAGACTTTATTTGGTAACAATTCTGGAAGCCATTTTGTGTTTGAAATTTTGTATTTTTTAAGCCTTGTTTCCTTCTTTTAATTATTAGCCAAACTTTGCTTGCTAACGACCCTATACCATTGTTTTGTTTTACGACATGTTCTTAAACTTTTTTTAAAACCCACAAGTATTTTTTTCAAGCGATTCTTGGGAGATCGCAACCAGAATAAAGACATACAGAAGTGTATCTTCTTATTAAAAGTGCGTAAGGGATTTTTTCAGTGGGCCATGTTCTTAGCAAGTGCCCTAAAGGGAGGCAGTCACCCCCCTGAAAACATATTGAAAATTTAATATTCCAGGGGGGTGAATGCCTCTCTTTAGGGCACTTGCTAAGAACATGGCCGCCAGCTATTTCGGTAAAAAGCGCCTTACGGTTTTGTAATGGAAGTTACACTTCTGTATGTCTTTATTCTGTGGTTGCGTTTGTAGTGATGAAATAACAAGGAAATCCTTGTGTTTCCATTTCAGTAACAAATTTCCTTTGATCAGTGAGCTCCATATATACTGGAGCGAGAACTCCTCGGACCTCGGTTGTTTTTTATATAATTTTTTCTATTTTTTTTGAAATAGAAAAAAGTGAAGCCAAGATGTTAGAAATTAGTACCAGTCTACTTTTCAGCCAATCTCGTACCCAGAACAATGCCTGTGCGCGGGCTAGGATGGCATTGGCTCTGGGGAAATTGACAACCGGAACCCCTAAATTTAGGGGTTCCGGTTCTTTGTCGGCATGCACGATTGATAAACGTTAAACCAATCACAGCACAGGAAAAGTCAATTTCCCCAGAGCCAATGCCATCCTAGCCCGCGCACAGGCATTGCTCTGGGTACGAGATTGCTTTTCAGCTTGAATTGATAATGCACAGTTATAGTGTATTTTTGAATAATTGCTAAACGAGCTCTGTATGACCATTCATTTATTATAAGTAATAGCATGGCATTCAGGGCGATTAGTATAGGTTATATACCGTGACTGAATGTACCCGTTTTGGTTTTTGATACCAATGTACGTACTAGCTTGTACGCGTTTGATTTTTGATACTAATGGCTCATGTTTACGCGTTTGCTTTTTGATATTCGCCTCATGTTTTAGCAATGAGGTAAATTAGTCATTAATCGTATCGAGAGCAATTTCAAATCTGTTCAGTTTTTTTATACATTATTTTATAATTCATGAATAAAAACTTAAATTTACAACATATTTAAAACAATGTGGCCCACAAGCCAGAATAATAATATTACTATATTGTATATTCTTGCTTTGTTTACATTTTGCAAGAAGGCAAGACCATATTCACGAACAATTTTTTCATGAATGCTTATAAGTCATTACATTTAAGAGATTGGTAAGATTTACTGGCAATGATGCCAATAAAAAAAACCATTCTGTATAAATAAATGATTTGCGCACTTTCTGTTAGTCTACTGAGACGCTAAAAATTATCTCTTGAAATTTGAGTTAAGGTACGGTTATACACTGCGATTGGTCGTGTACGATTCGTATTTTGGCGTATGTGATCGAATACGCATGCGTTTTGTAGTTGCATTTAATATTTCGCTGTAAACGAAACGAAAATACTTAATTGTGCGGTCAGCAATATTAATTTTCATACGCCAAAATACGAATCGTACTAGACAAATCGCAGCGTGTAAAGCGATTAAACCACTGTTCTGAGCTATGTATAAACATAGTTAATAGAATAGATGGTCTGGAAACTCATTAGAATAACAACATAACTCATTTTCTATGTTAGCCAACGTTTATTCATATAAACATGGTCGTTCACCGTCACGTGCGTATTGTGTTCTTGCCAAATCCACCAATAGCAATTTTCAATTTCCCCTATTGTTCGTGTCACGGATAGGAAACTTTCCTAAGACATAGCTATTGGTTAGTTGGGCAAAAATACAATACGCCCGTGACGGTGAACGACCATAGATTTATGAATAAACGTTGACTAACGTAGATAATGAGTTATATTGTTATTCTAATGAGTTTCCAAACCATCTATTCTATTAACTATGGTATAATAGTGCACGATGTACTAAAAAAGTTAAAATTAATCTTGTATCAAGTAGACATCTATTTCATGTCAGTATAAAGTCTCTTCTTTGATGGATTACTGGATTCCTTACGGTCGCTACCACGACGTTTTCTGTCCTTTGCGGGAGTAAAATACCCTGTCTTGTCACCAGACAACTCATCTGGGGAAGCATACCCACGACTCTTACACCACTCTTGAAAACAATGCACAATTCTTTCCTCTTTTGCTTTGCTCCCGGGTGTTGCTGCAATGCTGGACTGCTTGAGATTCTTTCCGTACACTCGAACGTACTGCTCGGAAAATTTCTGCGGCAACATCTCGCTTACGATATTTTTACGAAGCTGAACAGCTTTGTTGAAATTTTTGTTGTAAAACACCACAGATTCTACGGGATCTTTCTCTTTCATTCCAAAATGGATTTCAATGATGCTGATAAATAATTCATCTGGACTGAGGTCGCTGTCAAATGACGCGATCTCCTCTGCAACTTCTAACGCACCAATATCCAATTTCGTGGTAGGCTGAGTTTCACCACAAAATTTATACAACTCTCGTCGTTGGATTCTTCGAACAATTTCTTGCGCTTTCTTGGTATTTTCATCTTGATCTTTGCTGCGAATAATTTCATAAAATATGCTATCTGTTAGCTTGGCATACTCCTCCATATCGAAGATAGCCGTTGAGAAGTTATACTTGTGATCTAGCAATGTAAAAGCATCTGTAATCATATCTTCGATAGCCTTGATGGTTTTATGTTGATAAACGCGATGATGTAAGGACCATCTTGTATGGAACAACTCGTAGATATTAAACACAAGCTTATCTCTTAAACCCAACTGCAGCTCACCATCAACGGGCAAAATACGAACATTCTGAAAGTAGCGAAGGTGGTCAAAATTGCTCTTTACTCCAAGGTTAAGACAATCACGAGCAAAATAATCAAACTTATCACAATCGATCCCGTTCCTCTTGTTAGCAACTATTTCGAAGAGAAACCACTTCGTATACTCAACTCCATCGACCGTCGCCATTTGCGTGACCTTGTCTTTTCCAGGAAGTTTACCTTTGATAAGCTCTTTCACCAGATTTCGCTCATTTTCACCGAAGTTTTTCCCCTCCAATGCATCATAAAGTTCAGGATTCGCTTTCAACATGTGATCAAACATTTCGCACGAAGCATCTTCATGTTCCCAAGTTTGCAATTTCATTGCTTGTTCTCGGTGGAACTTCAAAGACTTCTCCATATTACCATCTCTGGCTTGGTTCAGCAATTTTGTTTCTTCACTTCGGTGTAACTTGATCAATTTCTCCTTGAGTTGCGTATCGAATACATGGGAGAATGGACCATGACCCAAATCCTATAAAATTGCAGGAAATTTGTTTAAAGTGGAGATTTTGTTAGGAGATGTTATGTAACACGCGCACGAAACTAACGAGATACTGTAATCCCACATGGGTGTCAATGTATTTCAAAATTTTCAATTTTTGATACGTTTCTTAATGGCAAACAAACGTGAATTTCAGTTGTGGTTATATTGCAGCTGTAATGCCTGTAAATATGGTGTCAAAGCAAAAAGCCTCTCACAGGGTTCGTACGGGTCCTGGAAAGTCATGGAATTTCAATATTCCAAAATCCAGGCCTGGAAATCCTGGAAAATCAAATTTTAGTCATGGAAAATCATGGAAAATTAAAATTTTACAAAACATTAACAAAGTATTTTACTTATTTCAATTTACCAGTCATAACAATAATATGAATTGTTGTTATATAATGAATTTTTGCAAGAGCGAAGTGAATTTTGTTCTTTTATTATATCTGTTATCGTTCCAGTTCCAGGATTTTGAAAAAAGCGGTCATGGAACTTTAAATGGGAGAAGGTGTACGAACCTTGACCTCAAACATTAACATCGTATACAAAATTGAGCTTCATTTGGGTAAAATATTAATATTACATGAGTGCATGCATGGAGGCATGCGCAACCCGTACGATGTTTTGTATGTATGTCGGTACATGTAGTAATTTCACTATAAATCTACAATTTTAAAATCTTAAAGTATTCATAACATTACAAATCGACATGTCAATTTTCTTACTTTAATTTGATTTAAACCAGTTTAGGCATAATAAGGATTATTGAAATTACCATTATATAATAACAATTTATGACGGTATTTAGAATAGAATTCATAATGTACAGTAGTTTATCTTGTTGATTAAATGTATGTATCCAACCCAGCTGGCTGGAATGAATCAAGCAGGAGGGTGGGATCCAAAGAGTTGTCCCAAATTTTTGAAAAACAATGTTGCCCTACAGTACATGTAGATGTTAAGCAAAATGTTAGCTTAGCCTTCATATATAGAGTCCAGTAGCTGATTACTTCCCAATTCATTGGCATCAATGCACCAGATTTTATCATGATGACCAGATATCTACCGATCCAGAGGTTAAGAAGTATTTCTGGATCGGTGCCAGATATCAGTCCTGAACTGCGAGCTGTCCCTCGGGAGAAAGGAGTGACCGCCGACAACACATCAAGAAACAAAATACGCCCACCTTTCGTTCTTGTCAAGTTGGCTGCGCCTTCACATAAACATTACTTATATCCAATTAGCCTTTCTCACGCCGCCATTTTTGGGTGGCATTTCAGCCGAAGACTGCGAGATAAGTCCACATAACAGCGACTTTTTATAATTTTTTTTGACAAATGATGGTAAACTTGCTTTGTAAATGCCTTGGTTAGTTTATTTTGAAAAATTGCTTTTCACATTGTTTTAGTTGTCTGCATTGGTTAACGAGAATTGTATGCCACCCAAAAATGGCGGATATTCGTCATCGTGAGAAAGGCTAATTAAATCTATCCAATAGGAACCGTTAATGTCATGTTTATTTATAAAATCAACATTCAGTCTGGAGATTATTGATAGCACAATTACTACGTATCAGATTTGATTGACAGGCGCGTATTCCGTTTCTTGATGTGTCCTTTCGCATTCCCGGAAATCTAAACCCGCGGAAAGGTAGCCTGCGTGGCAAGCCCTCGATTTTATGGGGGGCCTGATTTGCAGCGGGTAGGATTTTGGCGGGCACGGGAGAATTGAGGCCTGTGCCCGCCAAAATCCTGCCTGCTGCAAATCAGGCCCCCCATAAAATTGAGGGCCTGCCACGTAGGCTAGCGGAAAGGAGGGACTGCTCGCAGTCTACAGATATCCGGGCCAGATAGTTAATAATTTCAATAACCGGTATCCGCGGCCAGATACTGGATATTGTTTATATATTAGGTTCAGGCCTTGTTTTCAGGTGATCATCGAGAAGCTGGCAGTTATTGTCATGCTCATTTGAAAATGCGAAAAAGTGGATTTTATTTGCTGGCAAGGCCTTTTGCAACTATGCAAGTTTATCAATGTTAGACTGTGAAGTTCTTTCCTATTATTTCAAGTCAAAATGTTATAAAGTCTTAAGCCTCACTTTATAACCATTTAAAATCATTAATTTACCTAAAATGAAAGCCCAAACCTTATAAATTATCAACAATATCCAATATCCGGCCAGATAATTCAGTTGACGGATATTTTTCAACTATCAGCAGGCATATTCGGGATCCGGTCGGATAGCAAAAAGCTCTATCCAGTGCACCCCAAAAATGAGCTAGGAATTTCCCAATTGGCAGGGTCATAAACACTTCTCAAAGAAGTAGGCCATGTAACTGATGTACTGTACAAGTTTGCCACTATTTGTACAGTATGTTGTTTGTTTTGGTTTGTGTGGACTGTCGAGCATACTTTATAACAGAAGATCTTAGGACAAAACTTAAATTAATAAATGTGCCCTGCATTTGGGATCCATAGCTTGATGAATATCTAAGGACCAAAATTCATTAAAATCTTACAATAATTTCAGCTTAATACAGTATCAATCTCGTACCCAGGTTCTTACCTTCACACAATATAGTATATGGCCAGATAAAAATATAAGATTATAAATACAATATTAATAACAACCCAATATTAATAACAACTTAATTAAAACACCCCCACTAAACCACCTAGCTTTGGCCAAGGCCTAGCTGTGCTGCCCCACTAATTGACACACTTTGCCAGGTCAGAATCATAAATAAAAAATAATGCCCAATACATACATGACAGAGTGCAGCAATTTTGACACACAATACTTCCTCGTCAGTAATTTCTATTTCAGCTTTGTGAATTTGCCTTAACGTTTCAATCATCTTGCCAGCTAGGTAAGCAGTGCCGAGGGAGTGTTCAAATCGATTGTGCGAAGCACCCGGGTACACCCAGTATGTAGCTCCAAGCTGCTTGATGTCTTTCATTCGTTGAAATTCTGGAGTGTGAATGATGCGCATCAACAGTGGTTCTAACTCAATATAGCCATGAACAGGATCATTGAATACTGTGCCATATTCGTCCATGGTGAGTTAAAATACTTTCTGTAACCTAAACCAAATAAGAGTGAATTATTATTTATATACTTAAACCCAACCATTTAATGGAGGACATGCCCTGATGAAAACAAACTACAGTGTACTAAAGACACTTTTTCACACATGTAAAACAGGTGTGTAAATGACACATCAAATGTCTCTGCATGCACAGTTTTTGCATCTTATGGGTTGAGACCCAAAACATGCCTGTATGTAACATTATTGTTCAGATTAATTAAAAGCACCCCATCCATAACATACTAACTGTGAGTATACTGTATGCACTCAAATGTTATTAACCCATTTAGTTGCATTGTGCCCTTGGCTAGCTATTTACTCTGTATTGCTACACTTCTTTTAAATATCAATCTTTCAATATTAAAAAATCCAGTCAGGTAAGTGGAATAAAATTCCCTGTGTTTATACGAGAAAATTTCATCCTGCTTGCCGGGACAATTTTGTTGCTTTGACATGCATTATATCTTTGAACTTTCATTCCTGGCAACTGGACCTGCCCAGTTGTGAGTGTTTATATGGAGAAATTTTCATCCCAGTAAGAGAGATCTTGCAGCTCTTTCAAGCAAAATCTAGGCAACCTGTCACAGCGGATTTGGACTCCTATGGATATGGACCCCCCAGTCCATATCCGTTAGCAGATTCGGACCCCTATGGTACATATCCACTAGCTGGTGTGTACCCCCTTCTGTGGAACTGGACCCGCTAACTACAGAAAAAAGAATTTTTTTATTTAAGAATTAATTATATGAGTAGTTGTGGGCTATCTATGATGAAATTATAGCTAATATTATATTCTCAAGAATCTTAAAACCTCTTTCAGTCTGCATGCTGCAAAAACTATAAGTTCACGTACTGAATATTATGTACTGTGGTCCCAACACTGTACTTTTGCTTTAAATTATTGTTGATTTTTATGAGAAACAATTTTCAGTTGAATGTGCATGGAAATTTAGACAGTTTAATTGAAATTATGATAATGGCATAACTTTGCTTAATGAGTGGCAGCACTCTCCACTTGATGAGTAAAATCTTCTGGCATTAGACAGAGTAAAATATAGACTTGGATCAAGTCTGTCTCTCTACCCATGTTATTGCACCTCGTGCGTCCGATCCCTCGGACTCTTGAGAGATGGACTTGATCCTAGTCTAAGTAAAATACTAAAGTAGGGCGCACCAGGGTGCATTGACACTTAAAGGGTTAATGACAAGAATAAGTTATTGAGATGCTAATTTGATAAAAATTTAGGGTTGAATGAAATGCATCATTTTGTTATGGCCTATGGGCATGTTAATTAAGACAAAAATAATTTGAAATATATTTTCATTTTCCATTTTTATTTGAGCAGTTCAGTGTTAGAGCAATTCCAAGGTGGAAAATACTTGTGAAGACTTCATGCACTCTCACACATTCCAAGATCATAGAAATAAACCTATGAACATTGCAGAAAAATGATAAAATTCATTAGGAGTCCAAATTATAAAACAAACTAGGAGTCCAAATCCGCTAAAGAGCGGATTTCGACTCCTAATTTGTTTTATATTAATAAAGACCCCCATAGGCTCCCCAACCCATATTCGATAGTGAATTTCGACCGGGGGGGGGGGGGGGGGGCGGG